CCTTCCTTCCTTCCTTCCTTCCTTCCTTCCTTCCTTCCTTCCTTCCTTCCTTCCTTCCATTTTGAGGCAAGGTCTTGTTAAATGCTAAATTGTCTGGGTTAGGATTGAATTTGGAGTCTTCCTGCGTCACTGTCCCAGAGTGTTGGGATTACTAGTTGTGCCACTATGCCCAGAAGTACAAATGATTTTGCTCCAGATCTCACAGACAGCTGATGTCAAAAATGACAGAGTAGAACCAGGCATGGTGGCATGTGCCTATATTCCCAGCACTTGGGGACTGAGGCAGGAGGATCACCATGAGTTCAAGGCTAGCCTGAGCTACATAGTGAGACCATCTCCAAAAAACAAAAAAGAGAGAGAGAGAGAATAGAATCTATTTGGTTTCCTCACTGATTGGTATTTGCAAATGGCACAAATGTTTGAAATAGTAAAACTGAAAGGTCAGTAAAGCAAAATAATAGAACAAAATAAACATGTGATTGTTTACAGCATATACCAGAGGTTAATGCATGTTCTTTTATGTCAGTAATGGCTGTCAACAAAGTTGTTACATTTTGCTAAAATGGATAGTAAGGTGGGGTTTTTTTTTTTTTTTTTTTTTTCTGGTACTGGGAATCGAACTCACAACCTTGCGCTCGCCCGGTAGGCGCTGTGCTGCTGAGCTAAATCCCCAACCCCAATAGTAAGGTTAAAGATAAATAGCTTAGTATAGTTAAGTGGAAAGTGGAAATCCACTTTCACGTATAATAATATTGTAGCTATTGACTAATTTTTCCAGGCCTACATTTGCTTCATTTGGAGTGTATGATGGTACAATATAAAACAAAGGAAAATATAAAATGAGTACAAGTCTGATTTGTCTTGACTGCATGAAGATTTTATACTTGTTAAAATGTAGGGTAGACATGTAAAGATGATACAGTCTTGTCATTCGAAAATACTATTCTATGTATCAGGGTCTACATTTTTAACTTGTTTCATAAGCAAGAATAAATAGAAATAAAGCTAATAAATACACATATTCATATGACCTAAATACCATTTAGGTTTTTATATTATTTCTCATTTGTTCATTAAAGAACTGTACAGTCTTAATTATTTAGAAGCCAAATGTTGAAATTAAAAATAACCTAAGCCAGTGGGTTTCAAGCTGAGGCTGTTTTACCTCTGAGGACATTGGCAATATTTGGAGACAGTTCTGGCTTTCAAAAACAATGATGTGTGCCCCCTCACACTACTAGCATCTAGTTGTAGAGGCCAGGGTCGCAGCTAAACATCCTAGTGCACAGGACTGCTTCCTCACAGCAAAGAGTCAGATCAAAATGTTTCTGGCAACATTTATAACTAGTTCTTTAAGTTGATGTTAGATAAGATGAATTTGAAGGTTGACAATCACAGTTGACTATTTTGTGTAGCTTTTGTTACTAAGATAAATATTACCTTGCTTTTTAAAAAAAGGTTGAAGTTACGCCGAAACAGGTCATAACAAAAGGCAAATCGTAATTTGAGGGTCACTAATACAAGTAAAGAGATAACTGTTTCTATTAAGAAAATGTCCTGATTGCATAGATCATTATATTTTAGTAAAAGACAAATTCTATATATGAACTTAATTTAAATTTCGGTATATTTTATATAGGCTCCCTGATGGATTTTCTCAGCTGTTAAACCTAACCCAGTTATACCTGAATGATGCTTTCCTTGAGTTCTTGCCAGCTAATTTTGGCAGGTAAATTATAGCTTTTTTTCTAAAAGCATTTATTGTTAGCATTTGTAAAATTTATAAAACTACAAGCGCTTTAATACTATTAATTACAGTTTTATATGGTTTTCTTTTGTAATTATTTCCAAGCATTGTGATCTTTACAGTTTCTTTGCATCTTGTTATTTTCACTTTGAGTTTATTTTCCCAAGTAAGCAATTAACGGTAAGAGTTTAAAGGAAAAAAAGACAAAAAAAGTTTAAAAAGAAAAAAAAGGCTTTAAATTCAGAAATGGCAAAACAAGATTTTAATGGGGATAATCTGTATAGTTGAGATACTGAGTGCTATATACTTTGCATTTATCAAATTCTAAATTGATTTAATGATTGGGTTAGCTGTCTTCCCCACTGGAATGAAAATTATTGAGAACAGAGAATCTGTTTCTGGCATCTACCTAGTCACTTCAACACCCATCTATCCCAAGTCCCTGAGTAATTTTTTTAAACAGGTGAATGAATAAGAAAAACCAAATTATTATTGGATTGATACTATATAATTATTAGAGAAAGTGTTATTCAATTAAAATTCAATTTTATAGCTATCTTTTTACCTGAAATAATTAGTATACTTGTTAAGATTACTCTTCTGTATCTGGCATTCACATCTCTTAATCTGTTTTTTTCTATCTTATAGTAAAATGTGTATCACTGAAGAGCTAGAGTATTTCTCCTCCATGTCCTTTATGTTCCCTTACTTATTTCTTCTCAAAGCTATACTCTGGAATTACATTATTGTTCTCTGGTCTACAATAGTAAGCAATTTTTGTGGGTATTTTCAGTAAAAGTCATGAAATATGCTCTAGGGTTGATACTTAGACTATTCCTTTGTTTTGAAAAATATATGTCTAGGAGGCTTACCTTTCTCCATTACTGTAATTCTGAGGAGTAGAAGTAGTCTTTGTATTTTTTTCTGTTCTTATGTAATACATTACTGTCCACATAGTAATTGTGCAGTTAATATTAGTAGTTTAAAAACCTTAGAATGTGACATTAATTCAGTAAATTTCTTGTCTTTGTCATATGTAATTTGTTCCTTTTTTGCAGATTAACTAAACTCCAGATACTAGAACTTAGAGAAAACCAGTTGAAAATGTTGCCTAAGTGAGTAAACACTCTACCCTTTTCAAAATTCAACTTGAAAATTTTAATCTTTAAGCCTTTAAAAAATGTTACATTTTTATTATCTGAAGTGTGAGTGCAACTTATTTTTAAGGACTTTTATTTGTAATCATAATATTCTAATTCCTGATAGTAATATAAAAATATATGTAGGGGGTACTGGTGTTTAACTTACTACTATAGTAATGGGAAATTTGATATAAGAGAACTATAACTTACAGCCACCTAGAGGTCAGCTGTGCTGAGTTTATGTCCCCTGCAATTGAAGAATGAAATCCAAAGGACAAAGGAGGTTAAAGGATGGAAAGGTTTATTGGGGTATAAGAACAGTACCTGAGACACAGGAGGGGTCTCAGATGGGGCCCTTTGTTAGGGGTAATTTATGCTGCTGAGTCACAGTGTGGATATAACATGGGTCAAACTGTAATCAGTCAGTAAGATTACAAGTATAGGCACATAGCTAATCTTGATTTAGTAGGAAAGCAGGGCACTTAGCAAGGGTGTAGGGCTAACATCATTAACCTTGCCTTATCTATGACTTCTAATACAGGAGCGTTTTGAGGAGGGGTGGGTCCAGGTGCTGGACTTGATGGACTAGGTGGTGCTAAGTGTAGTACAATAGTAATTTCAAGTTTTGCATATCCCTTAAGAAACCACGGTTATAAGTCTTGCCCTTGTAACTTTACCTTGAGGCCTTCCTTGTTTTCTTCAGATGCGCATCCAGCCAGTTTTGATGTGATCTCATCTTCTTCACTGACTTCCTTGAGGGCCCGTCCATAGCTGCTGCTATTAATTTCTACCTAATTTAGCTCCCTATAATAATTTCATAACTCTCTGATCTTGAAAAAGACTGGGAGTTACAACACAAATGACTATGCATCTGACAAATAGTCTAACTCAGCTGATTTATTCTAAGGAAAAATGGGAACCCCACAATTCATATTGTAGCCTTTGGGTATAACTTTATTGCAGGTGCTTCTTAAGAATAAAAATTAGAAGACTGATCAGAAAATAATTGATGGGCTGAGGATATAGCTCAGCGGCACAAGCGCCTGTGTGGCAAGCGCAAGGTCCTGAGTTTGATTCCCGGTACCAAAAAAAAAAGAAAATAATTGATATAAAATACTCTAGGTTCTCTGGGTACCAAAGTTATGTGCTATATTCACATTGGAACACAGTAAACCTGAATAAGCAGAATTAGGTTTAACCTCAGTGTGAGTTGGGGAGACTCTGTAGAATTGATTCATCACTGAACCCGGGGCTTGTGAAATGCAGAAGACTGTGCACAGGCCGTGTTTACCTTCTGAGTGAAGTGCTGGGGCACCTAATAGATCCAGCCTTTATGTCCACTGCAAAATTTCTTTTTGTTTTGTAATGCAATGGAGATATTTTGATAAGCAATATTTTAAAAATTTGATATGGTACTTTAGTGTACAAGTACGTTAATTGTCACATACAGTGAACCAATTCGTTGTCAAAGAGGAGCTTGTTGTTAAGAAGAGAAGGTACTGAATACTTATCAAAGGCAACCTATACACTAACTGCAGTAAGGAAGCCAAC